CAGAAGGATTTAATCGCCGTCAGGTCCGAAGTCCATACGACGCCCCAGCTCTGCGGATGTCTCGGGGGTATGGCACATTAGAATCGATTTTTTCATTTTTATTTCTGTCGGTGTGTTCGGAGCTCATCGTATCCAAATAAGATTTTCTGCGTTTTTTATTTTTTATTTTTTTTAATTTTTAATTTTTTAATGCCTTTATATATATATTTAGAATGAGTAAGTACACGATTCATTTTTGCTCATAAACGTAAGTAAGCAATCTCAATCGAAAAAAATCGATTTAAATAATGCCTCCTGGGAAGAGTCTTATTTGCAGAAACTCGTCTAAATTTCCACCATAGTTTACTATAGATAAAAGCTGTGCGCATGCTCGTGTTACACCTTACCTTGTACGGAAATGAATAGAGAATGCTACTGCGCAGACTCATATGACAGCACGGGAGGTGGGTACAAGCTGTGCGCATGCTCGTGTTACACCTTACCTTGTACGGGAATGAAACGCATGCTCTTAGAGAAATAGAGAGAATAGAGACCGTGCACACTTTGTATGCTATATATCTGTGGCGCGCATGCTCATATCTTAGTACACATCGTACCGGACACTCTGCGCATGCTCTCAATGTTATATCATATTAGGCGATCCGTCAAAATATGCGTGCGTCTCTATCTCTTGGCGGATCGCGCGATTGAATCGTTATCACACTAATAACAAACGATACACGAATATCCTTATTCCAATGTGTATTGGATGGCGTGTGCAACATAATGAATATCGCTAATCTTTATCTCAAAGCACATGGCCAATTTTGCTTATCCTCTTCGACAAGACTTTCTGTTTGTAATCTGCTCTTTAGTGACTCTATATTTATCATATAAATCGCTCAAGTGGCCATTTTTACACTTTCTTTTCCCCTTCCTTCACGTGTTCAATTCACGGCTTTAGTTTCGACTCTAATTCATTCTGTTGTTTCTTCTGAACAATTTTTAAAAAACGTACATAGATGATATTAAATATTGCCAAGCTCGCAATAAAAAACAGTCCTCTGCTTTATCCAGATTTTGACATTTTGCCACACGCATCAGTGTACGTGTTTTTTTGAAGAACCCTCACAAAACACTCTAATGTTAAATGCAATAAGCCGAGCTCTGTGATTGATTGATTGACTTGCTGCTGGCAGCGTCCGGTATATAGACGGTTCAACTGAAGTACTTCAACCCCTTTGCGGAATATTACTCTTTTAGGATTTCTGAGTGTGGAATAATGTGAATTGCATGTCACTTGCTCAGCTGTTCTCTGGGCATATGTCAGAAAAAAGCCGCGCTTTGTTTCAATAGCCTTTCTTGGGGGGGAGGTAATGGGAGAGTCTAGAGCTGAAACCTTAAAGCCAAGGTTAAGAAAATCGGCTTTGCCGCCGCTAACAGAGTGATAACTAAAGGGATCCTTAAAAATGTGTTATTTTAAATCTTCGTTTTCAAGTTGTTTTGCATTTTTTTCTTATCCTCGTTCACTCTAGCTAGTTATCTATGTCTGCCAAAATTTATACTTTATAAGCCTGCTTTCTTTATATACGGTTTACACCAAGTATTGAACCATACATTTCCTACGTAATGCGAAGAAAATATTAAAAATTCAAGGGAAGATTTCCTCACACAGTTCAGCAAGTGGCAAAAATCTCAGTTTAAATCCGAAAAATTCGTCAAAAGAGCTTTACGTTTTACATGGGTTATGTCAATCCTGTAATCTGTATCAATTGAAATCTCTTTCACGATTATGGGAGTGAGAATCTCTGCCTTCGATGTAATTGAATGGTTGAACGAAACCAAGCCAAGACGTATTTAAATATTTATGTAATTCGTCTTTCTTCGATTATTTTGGCTTTTGAAGAATATTTATGCTAAAATAAGCTTGCCCGCGTTTTTTGTGGTGAAGATGGTCAAAGAGTTCATTATATAGAAACGTTGTGAGATGTATGAGGGTAGTCCGAAGTCTTACTTTAGAATTAACGAAATCCCTAATTTATTCAAGTAAAAAAAGCGACAATTTGAATATTATTTTTTTCTCAAAGGGAAGTGATTTTGTATCTTTGCGTACATCTCTCTCGCACAAGAAGTGGTTTGTCATGTAATATATCAAGACAAATCTTGAATATTACTACATTACATTATGTCACAGGAGAGGACGTGAATAAAATTGAATAATTTGTGGTTTGTTACTATGCTACTGTTTGGTGTTGTTTTGACTCGAAATTTCCCATTTTTTCGCAGAAAATCACCTTTACAAGGTCAGTCCTAGGAATAGTCACCTGTGATTGGCTAATAGTCTAAGCCAGTCCATATATGTCGTTAATGACGTCTTTACTCGTCGCCATCTTGGATTTTGATGATTGTTATTCAAATGATTCACACTTCGCACAAAAATTGATCGTAGAGATGAAATCAAGCACCTAGTCTAGTAGCACAAGCGGCCTTCTACCTTTTGACATCCCAACGATACTCTTTGTCATGTATATATTTTCCTTCCTCTGACAGTTGAAGTTCTTTCACAGCAAGGTTCATGATAAGTACTGAGCTTATTGGAAAGAAATGTGGTTTTTGCCGCGATGAAGAAAGGGGAATATAAAGCCGCTTCTCGCACAAAATACAAACTACCTAGTTGACTAACTTTAATAGAGCAGATAAAGCACAAGGATAAAGCCGTGTTTAAACATGACGAATAAAGGAGACGATACCTCGGTTCGAGTCGCTTTGAGGTAAGTTGTTGTCGTTTCAATCATTCAACCGTTTTTACCTGTAGTTCCTCTACTATTTCTTCTTGTTTGGACGTCAAAATATTGACTTCTGGTGGAAATATATCCCGTAGTTCTTACTGACGCTTTTTCCATTCTCTTCGCGGTTTTGAACATGTATTTTTTTTCTCTTATTTTGTACAGGATTCGTCCTCAAAGTGCAGCTGAACAGATCAATATGTGTCGCGTTTGTACAACAGTAACTCCAGGACATCCTCAAGTAATCCTTGGGAAAGACAAGGCTTTTACCTTTGACCATGTTTTTAATGTCGAAACGATACAAGACCAAGTGTACAATACATGTGTAAAGGATCTCGTTAATGGGTAAGTCATTTCTAGTTTCGCTTTTCAAATGATCTTTCGTGTCCGGACGCCATCTTTTGCGAGGGAGTTTAATTCTCCTCCGGTGTAAAAGCCTTTTTAGTCATTTGCTCATTCACTAATACCACAAAACCATTTTACCTGCTCTCTTTCCACTATAAAAAAAATCTGCTTTCTTTTCCATATATATTGCAAAGAACATTCACTAAAGTCAATATACGTGACGCATAGAAATACACTAGTTTTCTTTAATGTCTTACACAAATCAAGCTTATAGAATATTATTTTATATGTTCATTCTTTAGGTGTTTAGATGGCTATAATGCTACTGTTCTGGCTTATGGACAGGTAAGAAAGAGAGTCTCTTGTTTCAAACACGAGGGAATTATAGAATTGATTAATGATTTACAGCAAAATGTCATTTGCTTTTTCCATTGCAAAACCAAGTTGTAAAAATTCATGTTTTTTAATTTTAATCGTAAATTTAGTGACCTCATTCCTAAAATCTTTGAAAAATAAAACATTATGGCAGTATTCTAGTGTTCAAATTGTATTTACGATTTTATTTACTGATTGGAGTGGAAATATTAAGATTGTAGACACAAAAGATTGTCTACAAGCTACATGAGAGACCTGTAGATTTTATGGTTGAATTGTTGCCAACAAACACAGCACATAATCCTATGTTTTACTATACTATGCTATAAATAATATTTCCAAAAGCTAAATCTTTCATTGTTGTACAAAATGTAATTATGATAAATTTGTAAATGGAAATATATTCAGGTACTTCAGTAACCCTAACAACATTCAGACTCAGAAAGTATAAGATTAATATTATTAGTATCGTTAATTACAAAACCACTTTATTTGTTTTAGGAAGAGCTTCATCAATGAGGCCGGATAATTTATGATTTTAAAATTATGAAGCCAAGCGTAGCATTTACTTTTAGAGGTTACATGTGCAGAAGCGTCTCTTACTTCTCTTAAAAGATGCGTCCCTGTAGATTGGAAATTTAAAATAAATCTAATCTCATTCGATTGACATAGTTCATTCTTAAGCTCCAGCGTCATTATCATGTTAATAGTGTTTGCGTTAAGTATACAGTATAGTATGCTTATACTACTGTGTTCAAATGATTGGCTTTATTTATAATTCTTGTTATGGAAATATTGTTTATTTGTGCTAGAAATAAAGCTTATCTTGACCCTTTCAGCAATAAGTTTTTAGAGGGGTTTGACATAAGTGCTTTACTCTGTGTACATTATATATGCTGATAAAAACTTGGCTGTAATCTAATGTATACTTTTTATTTTGGCAATCATTATTATTCATAAAAATGTACACGTACAATTCTTAAATTAGCTACATTATCCTAGAGCTACATGGAGCAAGTTACTGCTAAAACGTGAGCTACCACAAACACATAGTAGTTTTTCTTACTATGATAATGCTTTTAGTTTAAGAAGTGAGTGAGAATGTCTTTACTGCCACAGGCATTTTTAGTTATTTGCTGTAATATCCACTGACACAGTAAAAGAGTCACACTAATAGAAAACCATATACAGTAATGCACAGAATATATATTAGGATTCAGTAATTTAATAATGTATTTGATACAGATGCTGTACAAAACTATGTAGTTTAGTCAAGTATATGCATGCAATATCACACTGCACATATCCAGTATATTGGCACTGATCTCTATTCAAATGCATGTTGTTTTTTATGTTGATGTTGTTTCAGTTTTATTCATTTTTAAAGCTTATCAATCCTTACCAGACATTGCGATTGATAACTGAATAATATTCTGCTTCATTCTATGAATACAACAGATGTAGGCCATGGAATATTGATATACAAGCATACATAAAAGTGTTTGTGTACATTGTGATAATGACCAAGAATTGAGATTTAGTATTTGTACGTTTAATGAATAATTCCACAGAGAAAGAGAGAGAATATTTCAGTCTAATGAATAATTCCAAACACAGAGAGACAACGTTTCAGTTTGTCAGAGTTATTTTACTTGATTGATGATCAGAGTGAATAAGATATTCACCRTTAGACTGAAATCCCAATAACATGGGGTGATGCAAGTTTTATCAGTTTTATCAATACTATTCTGCAACTAATCCCATTGGATAATGCATTCTTATTCTATTCTATTTTTTGTTCTTGTCTAAAATAATTTATGATCAATTTTGTAATTAATATGATAAGCAGGGGGTGAGAGTATATAGTAGTACCTGTTAATCACTAGAAAACTTTAATAAATGTTGCCAAATAAGGTTAGACAAGGTGTGTAGTTAATGACAGTAATGTCAGTGTGTTTATGCAGTTTGTAATTATTCTTGTAATATTAATGTTTATATACTATGGAAATAGGGTAAATTCATTATATGCCAGTAGGTGCTGACTCTGAAGCCAGCTAAAAGAAAAACAACTTACTTCATAACAATAATTAGAGATTTTTAGTGATAATACCAAAATACAGGAAGTTATATTTAAAGTGTTTTATCTTGACTGTTTTATACCAATCTAAGGTTCATTCCTTTGCTTCCTTTCTTCTAATGTTATTGTTTTACAATTTGATATCAGCATCCATTCCCAGTAGAATAGCAAAGCTAAAGGGGGGTACACAAGATAGGAGATTCTGAATCTTTCTTTCACATACATCTCACATCTTTCATTTTATTTCATATCATTTTTTTTTTTTCATTGAATTTTTTCCTTTTTTCCTTCATTTCTTTCTACTCTAAATATATATCATAAAAACAATGTAATTTAATATTAGAAATGCATATACTCCATGCATTTCTGGTATTAAGTCTTATATTTTACACAGTAAAAGAGTCACACTAATAGAAAACCATATACAGTAATGCACAGAATATATATTAGGATTCTTATATTTTACATGTATGTGTTTCAAAAGCTTTACTTTACTATTGTTGTAAGGTGATCAGCTCTTTACTGTTATCACACCCACACCTCCCATTATACTATATCATAAGATTATTTAATACTGACTGGTTCTGGCAAGACATATACAATAGGTGCAGGATTTGTTGTGTTCATGTATTGTACTTGATAAGGTTATTTATTTGCCATTATAATAATTGTTATTTACTAGACTGGTTCTGGTAAGACATACACCATGGGTACAGGATTTGACGTCAATATTGACCCAGAAGAAGAAGGCATTGTCCCTAGAGCTGTTGGTCATCTATTTAATGGAATAGAAAAGAGAAAACTAGAAGCAAAGCAAAGGAATGAACCTCAACCTGACTTTAAAGTCACAGTACAGTTCATGGAGGTTAGTATCATGGCTAACGGTAAGAACTGTATGCTTAAAAGAATTATTTATATATGCTTAAAAGACTAATTTTGAGAACTTTTTTTCACAGCTTTATAATGAAGACTTGATAGACTTGTTTGATGCTGATGGAAGAGTAAGTGATCTCTTTCCTTGTTTATTATCATTGTTTTCAAATCAACAAGACCCATTCAGCTTAGGTGTAACGTTTTATGCCATTTTCAGTCCATATGTTATTACTTGGGCAATATTGCTGATTCTTTGTTTGAGCTTTATCCATGATATAAATATATCTTCTCAGTTAATGCCGATTAACAAAGGAATAATTCTCAAGGAAATGACATTGCTTTAAAATAGGAAAATGTGTTATAGTATACTCAAGCTAAGAAGGTCTAGAAGTGGTATTAACTTGCAATAAATATGCGAAGCTCAATTATTTTTTTTTGTTTTTTTTGACCATGTTTTAGGGCAGAAAAGCAAATCATGTCAAGATTCATGAAGACCCTAATGGACTGATTTACTGTATGGGAGTGACAATGAAGAATGTCAAATCTGCTTTAGATGTAAGTATTTACAGATGGGCCACCTGTGGAATTATCTCACCACAGGAATCCCATATTCATCATGTGTTTTGAAAGGTTATTTACATTGGATTGTGTTTTGCAGACCTTAAACTGTCTACAACAAGGTGCATTACTAAGAACAACAGCAAGTACCAACATGAATACACACTCGTCCAGATCACATGCCATCTTTACTATACAAATCAAGCAGCAACGAGTTGTCAGGGTAATTACATTGATTTTTAAGAATTTATTTGCATTATTCATCTTCCTATATTGCAGAACCCTAGAGAAATAGTTGATTCTAATTGGCAATTGGCTGGTTCAGGTTTTCCTTATTATTGCAGGGCTAAAAGTAATGATCGACCAAATTATTTTTAGCACAGTCATACCTTATTTCTGAATCAATGTTAAACTGGTCAAAATGGAAAGGCAAAGATTTGATTAGACAATTTTCAATTTTGGAACTTATCTGATGACCGGCCATTAGTTTTAGCCCTGCTAATGGTTCTTGTGATGGGCTATGACATTGTACAGTACTAACTGTAATCACAGCTTGTACCATAAGTCACAAAGATCCCCTCCAATTGACTTGCGAATGAAAAATAAATTATTTGCTTATACAAGCGTAGGTGGACACATGTTTATTTACTGCCATTGTAGTGTAACTTGTATTTCACATTGCTTTATTGGCCTTTCCAATCATAGATTTCTGGTTAGTGTTATATAATGACCAACCAAAACAAATTAACTGATCATACATTCATTACATCCATCTATACTCTGGTTCGAGGATGGGTGAAGTCATAGAGTGATGGAGAAGTATGAAGTGCTGACTTATTCAACATAAAGTTGATGAAGTTTTTCTTTTTTCTTTTTGTTTTAGACTTCAGAAGGTGACAAAGGTTCAAATAGTAACTATGAATATGAAATGCTGAGTGCAAAGTTTAACTTTGTTGATTTGGCTGGATCTGAGAGATTAAAGAGAACGGGTGCAACAGGTGACAGAGCTAAAGAGGGTATATCAATTAATTGTGGACTGGTAAGTAAATGGAGCATTTCTATTGAACGGCACTTTGGCAAAGGAACGATGAACATTTCCTTTGATGCAGTTTTATTATTATATGATACTGTAGATACTGTGTTGAAATATTTTTGTATGTTTATATTATTGCTTGTATTCTAGCTTGCATTGGGAAATGTGATAAGCGCACTTGGTGATGTTACAAAAAGAGGAATACACGTACCATATCGGGACTCTAAACTAACAAGACTACTGCAAGACTCACTAGGGGGTAACAGCTGTACCCTTATGATAGCATGTATATCACCATCTGATAGGGACTTTATGGAGACTTTAAATACTTTGAAGTATGCCAACAGAGCAAGGAATATCAAAAATAAGGTAAGCGACTACAAGTACTATTTTGTTTGATAGGCTTCCAATCAGAGACAACAGAATGGTACAGGATATGGGCTACAAGAAATGAGGATAAATATTGCTGGAATGTACAACGCAGAGCATGCCTTTACATTCATCATAGGCATAAGGCAACATCATTAACTCAAGTTATTTTGATACTGAATTAGATCAGCTCAGAGGTTGTTTCAGCGTTTGATAAATTAAGTAATATTTTTTGTGCATGAATGATTTGTAATGTGATTCTTTCTTTTCTCAGGTTGTTGTTAATCAAGACAAGGCCAGTAAACAAATATCCATGTTGAGGGCAGAGATACAGAAGCTAACCATGGAACTGGTAGAGTTCAGGCAGGGAAAGAGAGTGTCAAATATGGAAGGAGAATCAGACGTGACGCTGGAAAATGATTTGTTAAAAAGTGAAAATGAAAAGTACGAATGAAAATATAATGCATCACCATTATTGTCATTACCAACATCAGTCCCACTGTCACCATCATTATCATAATCATCATCATTATCATAATCACTCATCACCATTACTACCACACTCATCACCATCAGTCATCGTCATCACCATCAGTCATCATCATCATGACCTGGCTGACCATAACTTTCACCATCACCCTCACTGAGACAATCATCATCATCGTCATCAATATTATCATGGTGTGTGTGTGTGCATTTAGGACTTAAAATAAAGAACATTCAGTTGTCATATTCATGACCATGGACCAAATTAGTTTTAGCTTGGTCATACGTTAATGGTCAAAATGACCAGCAAATCAATTCCAATTCTCACCAGACATTGCCCAATTATTACTGGTGATTATATTTAGCCCTGCATTTTGTCATAGTTTCTCACAGTCTGATCCAGGGTACCTTTCCAAGTGCATACATTTTGTTCTGTCTTCAGTCTAATGATAACATTATATTCTATAATAATTGTGATTCATCTTTACTTTTACTAGATTGAGGATGCGTATCAAAGCATTGTCATCTACTGTTGACTCACAATCCTATAGAATAACAGACCTGATGTCGGCTAAAGCTATGGCAGATCTGGAAGGAGGTAAAGAGGAAAAAGAACTGATAGTGATGATAATGATAGTAATGATGTGGTAATGATGGTGGTGAATATAATGGTGATAGTAACTATGATGGTGATGATGATGATGGTGATGATGGTGGTGGTGGTGATAATGATGATGGTGGTGATGATGATGATGATGGTAGTGGTGGTGATGATGGTGATGATGGTAGTGGTGGTGATGATGGTGGTGGTGATGATGATTATAAGAAACAATATTTTAATCAAGATAATAACAGCCTTACCTTTTGTTGTCATGTTTTACAGTTCATGTTGATGGTGGTGTAGAAAATCTTATTCAGAATTACTTAAGGGAAATAGAGGAACTAAGGTATGTTGGATAACCTAGACTAAATACTCACATTATACTTACTTATGTCTGAAAGTTCCTGTTGTGACTTAATTGATATTAGATATGCAATACAAATGAGTCATTAGCACAAGAAAATAGAGCTCACATTCTCACAGGTCAATGTAAACACAAAGCAGATTATTTATTCCTTTGTTTGGGTTTGTGTTATTTCTTTTATCAAGCAATCACTGATTGACCAATATATCTATGGTAGCACAGCCAATCAAAATGCAGGATTGGTAATACAATATGTTGCCCATTATGTCACTGTTTAGTGTATAATGTAATGTTTGTTCATACCATGGCTATCTTATAGGAATAAACTAACCCAGAGTGAGGTGATGGCTACAGCAATAACAAGAAATAATTACTTGAAGTCAAGGACAGGACATGCAGTGTCAACAGATTCTAGCACTACCATCTTAGAGTTGGCCAAGTCTGATCTTGCAAAGCAGAAACAAAAAGCACAGGTGGTATTGCGATCAAATAATGTATCTCGCATGAGGTGTGTCAAGCCTATTAAGCCTCGCAATAGTAACGATATGGGTAATTGTGATAGGGGTATGAGAGCTAAGGCCAGGTCAGCTCTAATCCAAGGTAACAATGGTAGAATGAAGCTAGTATCACCAAAACTACCTTGGAATATGGTAGATATACCATCTAAGATAGACACAGGTCGTAGAAACACTCCTCGTTCTAGGTCTAGCTGTGATGCCGAGAGTATTAACTACAGGCCCCATCATGGTATGCGCAACACACCTCCAACTCATCTACCCAAAGTACCTCCAGGATTACCCAAATCTAGTGTGGTCATAAAACGACAGAAACCCAAGGCTGCAATAGTCTCTCACCCGGTCAAAGATCACACTCCAAAGGAAAGGAGTGTAGCAACTAACACTGATAACCCTGATACACAACTAAACACTACTGTAATACAGGGTACTACTGTAGTGTTAAGGAGAAAAGTCAAGACCAATAGTGTATATGCAACAGAAGACCGCCGTTCTAGTGGGTTTAAGAGGAGGTCTAGAAGTGTAGATTCATTCTTAGATACTAGTGCTAGTGAAGACTTTGATGTGAGTCCTACTCAATGCTTTAAATGCCAGAAAGACTTGAGTAAGATTCATTCATCTTGTAGTCTGTCTAGTAAGATCTCTGATTATAGTTCAATGAGTGATATTAACTGCTCGCAGCAGGATATAGCAGACAGAGATGAAAATAACAATGTAGATTTAACTAAAAGTAAGCAAAAACTCAGAAATCAGTCATCATTGAGGCACTTGAGGAATCCTGCTCTGGATATCATGTCCGACACTGAATGGTACTCACACAGGAATGATGAGAGTGACACGCCCTTGACAGATGGGGAATATGCTGCAGGCATATCATCTGATACAGAATTCTATAAACAAAACAAGAGGGCACAAGTCAGAAGAAACCTTTACTTGGACTCACCAATGCCTGCGTTGATGCAACAGAATGACGAAGTTACTGCCAAGAGTATCGAGCTGAGAAAAGCCCAGCTTCAAGAAGACTTGGATTCACTACTAGACTCAATGGCGTTTGTCCTGAGTAGCGCACAAGAAATGGAACAGTCAAGACACTCATTAGAACCTGACGATCCCATGTACAAAGCACCAGGACTTTTTAGGCCTATATTTGAAGTCAAGATTTAACTGGTTAGCATTTGTATAGTGTCTTGTTCCTATGGTTCTACATATCTTCCTATATTTATTATCTATAATGCATACCATAGATATCCAAACATAGCAAGAACAAGTATTTTTGATTTGCTAAGAGGTATGTAGAAATGTCCTATGAGTATAGCATCTATTATTAACTGCATTATAGCACAGTATAGCAAGCACAAAATAGAGTATATTCTTCCAGCTGAGTTGACTGCGATCCTCTGTTGCTGTCTCTAAATCTTGTTATAATCCTTCTTCCATCAACAAATGAAGTGTACTTGCAAGAGATATGTACTCTCAAAACAAGGATATTTCACTTACTCACACTGATCTGATCAATAGTTGCTGAAGTGATTTTACTTCTATCATTAAGTATTACACATCTTAGTTTTCCAGATCAACTCAGCTGGTTATTAAATGGCTGACCATCGCAATTACCATATTTATACCATAGTACCATATTAGTGTAAAGGGCTGTTAGATGACAGAAGTAGGTTGATAGGTGATAGCGTGGCTGGTATTAACTGATGAGTATTACCTTTATTGGGTTCTTATATCTGTTGATGCCTACCCTTGTGGATGTCTATTTTCCTTTTCTTTCTTTGTCTTAATTGAGGACTTTTTTTCTGGGTTATGTTTCTTCTCTATTCATTTTTCTTACATCTACTGATCTTATAACCAAACAAAAGATTGTCATCTTAACCATTCAAAACTACTGGTAGAACTAAACTACAACTGCTACATAAAATATAATTACTATAAATATATATTGATGCATTTAAAAGATGTAAAACTAAGTTTGATCGTTTGACTGGTGTAATGACATTTCCAATCATTTTAAATGAAAAAGTAAAAAAGTTATTTTAAAAAACTGGGATGAAGACTGTATATAGTACAGTGCTGTCAAATTACACTAGACCAGATAAGATGGATACGCCACAGTAATTATTATTAATGCTGGCCAAATCTTTACAATATTCCAATCCATGGATAAATGTTATTTAAATTTAACATGTTTTATTTATCCCAATGAAAATTTAGTTAATAAGACACTGGTTGTTTTGAACTAAAAGTGTATATACATTCATTGCTAATTTGGTTTATTTATTTTAAGAAAAAAAGTAGTTTTTTAGTTATTATGATTATAATAATTCTGCATTCTTAGTCCTGGTGACTAGAAACACGTCACAGCACTGGTGCTGCTCTTGCAATAATTATCAATTATTTGTAGGTTATTTTTGGTATTTTGTCTATAGAATCCACAGGAAAATTAAACTTAATTAGGGCAATGTTGAATAATTTCAGTCAGAATTTATAGTAGATTAATCAATTGATAACAATAATAAACATAAATAAATCATTAAATTAGTATTAGCTCATTAGTAATCTCCTTTGCAGATGGCATAGCATAAGACTGAGCCCTCTGCAAAAAAAGCTATCATTGCTTGCATGTAGGTGCAAACACCACAAATTAAAACATGTTCTAACTGCTGGCTACTGAAACTTGTATGTTGGTTGGCTAAAAACTTAAATGTTTATTGATTTCAAAGGAGACCACCAGTCTTATTTTACGTCGACATTTTAGCTGTAGACTAATGTACAAGTTTCAGGAGCCAGCTAGAACAGCTTGTAATGTCTAGTGTTTGTGCCTAGATGCAAACAACAGTAAAAATCAAGTTCAATTAAAAGATTTGCTAAATAAATTAGGTTTTTAAATTTGCCTTTGAAGAAGAAATTCTGAATGAGATAAAAGTTAATGAAACAGACTGAAAAATGACTTGAAGAAAGATAAACAAATAATGTTTAAAAACATCACGCAGTTAATAAATACCAAGCCTTTCTTCCTTTAATTTGCTGACTCCTAAAATAATAAAGTCATTTTCTCCTATTAAACTCTGAATTAACTTAATTTATAAATCCAAGAGAATAGTGAAGTCAACTCATCAGAAAGGAAAATCTTGACTTTTCATAATAAAAAATGTAAAACCTCACTTCTTGTTCTCTTCTCTGACTTGCTACAAACTTGCCTGCAAAATACTACCAAATTCATTCATTCCATTCATTCTTTCACTTCCATTTATTCATTCATTTTTCTTTATTCACCATTTACTCTAAATTCCTCTCTTTCAATTAATTATTCTTTCTCTTTTATTCATTCATTCATTTTTCTAGTTTCATTTCGTTTTTCACTTTAATCATTTCTCTCTTTCAATTTTACTCCATTTTTCTTTTACTTTTTATTCTCATTCTCTTCTTGTTTCATCCACTTTTTAATCAAAACAATTGTCCTTAATTCATTCTTATTTTATTTATATTCTTCATTCTATTTAATCCTTAATAAAAGCCTTGAATGGTTCATTCCAAACATGAAGATCAAAGTCCTAAGCAAATAAGGATTTCAACTGTAATGTTTCTATTTACTTATGAATAAGGTTTCTAAAAATAATCCACTAGGTGATTTGGTATTTTTAATTTAGCCCTTCATATTCAAACCTGGAATGCTCTCTAATTGGTTCATGAGACATTATTATGACTAGTTAAAGCCAATAACTGAGCATAATTTCCTGAAATAAATCCCCTTCTTTCATTGTTCATTATTATTCCTTTCTCTGCCATCTATTTTTAATGTCCTGCAAGGTATTTGCATATTCTGTTTCTCTGTCTACTTGATTTTCTCACTAAAACACCATTTCTTATGAGAAGCACTAGTTTTCTGTCTGGTTAACCACATTTCTTGTCTATAGTGTCAAATGATTGGATTTATATTCATATTGATTCATTCAATCTATTTTGATCCTGATAATGTTGGACAATACATTTCCTATTCACATCACAGCTGCCAGTTGTGTCTCGTTGTGTCTGGTAATAATTACAATAAGCAGCTGCTCAATATATTTACCAGTGTTGGTCTTACTAATGTATTCTCCTATCCAATAACATTCATATATCACAACTGATGTCTACTACTATTGGCTGGATGCACACTCTCTTGATATATATTCATGATTTCAGGGTCTAATGTGTACTGATATCATGACTAATGTGTGTAGGCTGTTTGCTGCCCAATACCATGTTCTTCCCTATTGGCTGGACTCACTCTGTCTTATGTACTCATGATGTCATTCTTCCTTCAATAATTATTGTTCTTGTGTTTTACTTAATTGTGTGGAATTTTTCCTTTTTCTGTCCATCACCATGCATGTTTGTTTAGATAACATCTTTTCTTAGTTGTGCTTGCATTTTTYCCCTTCAAATCTAACTCTTCTTTTCTTTTTATTCCTTGTCATTCTATTATTTCGAGATTTTATATCAAACCAATTAACAATAATGATGATTATTTTATCCTATTGACTCCTGCAAATACTCTTGCTTTAAGTATTATCTTCTTAGTGTCCATGTAGCTTATAATATTTTTGACAGATGTCTCTAGTGATTTGAGATTTCTCTCACTAAATCCCACATTATTTGTATATCATTTGACTTCTCCCACACGTAATGTCTAGCTTGTTTCCTCTTTATTTTATTCCTGTCGATGGCTTGGTCTAATTTCTTATTTCTGGTAATAAATTGGAGCATTGTTGCCATGGTGATGTAGCTTAGTGGAGATGAAATCCATGGGAGACATTAATTTTATTATATGATTTGCCACTATTGGTCAATTGTTCCTTGATCCTGATTGGCCCTTCCTTATTGTTCTAGATTTCTTTTTCCTACTATTGGTTGATTCTTTCTAATTAATGTGCCTTGGTGATCTCCTATTGGTTTAATTGTTTTATAAGGAAATCTATTGGATTTTAATTGGTAACCTCTAAAGCTATGTAAGAATCTTTTCCTGGCTTCTGATTGGAGGTGCAGTTTAATTCAGGCCATCTGCTGTAGTTCACAGGATTTACATATAGATATTTCCTGTAGGCAGCACTCAACAAATAGAATGTTTTCATGGTATATAATGTTATTTAAGACTGAAGTTCAAGGTAAATCGGCAGATTTCACCCTGGCAGTATAAATACATATGACTTCAATCTGTCTAAAAAATAATATTTATTTTATTTTATGATCATAATATAGTTTATTATTTCCAGAAAAATATTTTATGTTGAAGTAATTTTTTAGTAACTTACAAATTATAATGTTCATGGATTTTTGGTGGATTTAAAAAACTGTTTACATTTTATGTAATCAAAAACAAACCTTATCATTACATATTTACCACAAAACTAAGTGAGTATTTAATTGCTTTCCTTCAAAACATTCTTAAAAGGTTTTAAATCTTATTCCTAAATCTTCAGGTGAGAGAGGTACTTTCATGAATTCATTACCAATCAGACAAAATGTATTGATTTTTCAGCTTATGAAATGATTGGTGCTGCCTAAAAGCTTTATCTTCTGCATTCTCTCAACCAGTGTATTTTATCATTTGTATCTAGTATGTGCATGATTTATTTTTTTAGTTCCTTGAATATTGTCAGCCTGATATATATCTCATATCCATTCTTAGCTCTCTCTGTTCATATCTAGCAGACAGACAGGTGTACATCGGATATATTTGAATAGGCTTAATGATAATACTGCCTGCAGATCTAGACAAGCCTTTAAAAAATGAATGAGGAGGAAAAGTTTTAAATAGGAATATTGAACGTGCACTCCCATGGACTCCTAGTGAGATAGAATCATGTTTTTTTCTTGATTATTTTTGCTTCAGGCGTGCTTTAATTTATCTTGATTTAATCATCATGCTCTAGATTTTTTTTGTTTTCCGTTAATAGTCTGCTAATTTTAATTAAAATTTTAAAATCTGACCATTTCTTTTAGATTTACAATCACTGACTGTATATTTTTATATGATTAATACAAGCATTGTTAATTGTGCTGTGTGTCAGGTAGTAAAGCAACAACAATCATGACAAATGGTTGCAAGGGTGTCATAGTGGTAATACTTTCACCTTTCACCACTGTAAGACCTACAGTTTGGTTGCAGATTCAATTCTTGAGGATGCTACATGTGAATAGAGTTTGCTTGACATCTTGTTTTCTCACTTGCTAAGATATATTTTAAATTTATTTTTCTTTCTTGTCTATAGAGGATCATCAAGAGCAGGACTAATAGCATAAATTAAAATGGATTTTTTTTGAGAATTCTAGTTATTTTTATACATTTGTAGGAAAGTATATTATTTCTATTAGTCATTTTTCTGAAGATCAAGTCCAACCCAAACAATCCTTATTTTACCTTATAATAACAGACTTGAATTATTAATGATAATAAGCTTGGCACATCTGTGATTGCACTGACTTTAATTCCTATCTATTAATAATGTTATTAATTTTAATTACTCTAGTAGGCTCAATATTTTTTTCATTTCTTTCCTCTCTTGTTCTGTTTTACTCAGTTCTATAAATTTTGAGATCCCCTCCCCTCCCCTCTAATGAAGAAATAATGCTCAAGGGAGTGGTATAATCAGTTGATTATAATATAGCAATGTACTGAATGCCTTATTTTTGAACATTAGAAACTAAGAAAATCCTCCAATAGTACTAAGGAAGAAAATGAAGAGACTAAAGAGAATAGCAGTGATGATGAGTTATCATCAGGTGATGAGGAGGTAAGACATGCATCCTACCGCTAGATCCTATTTATTTTAATTGAAAGATGGTCAGTTAAATCTCATTTACATGAAATAGGGTGACCTGAGTTTTTTGAATAAGTCTTTCGATCTCCTTCCCTGGGTGACATCAAAGACAGTGTTAGGGTCATCCCAAGAGCATGTAAATAGGGCCCAATAGTAGGTGAGGGGTGAAGGAGGTAGATTRATTTTCATACTTTACAACAGTAAAGCACAGCAAGTGGATCAGGTTTTGATAGACAACTTTTATTTTATTCAGGATGACGATGAAGAAGAGGAGGAAGATGTTGATGATAATGATGATAATGATGATAGTGAAGAAAAAGGAAAGGATGGTAGTGGTGATGAGTCCTCTTCATCTGAAGAGAATGAAGACTCTGAAGCTGGTAAGAAGTCTTTAGTTTGGATTGAAAAACAAATCTCTTTTATCTATCCAATCTCATTCATCCCATCCATCCATATATCAGCCATTCCTTCATTCCATCCCATGCCATCCAACCTCATGCATCCATCCATTCATTTATCCATCGATCTTTGTATCAGTCATCTGTCAATCCATCCATCCCATCTTATCTCATCACCCATACATCCATTCATATATTTGTTCAATTTTTCATTTGTTTTTGTTTTATGTTATAGGTGCACAAGTTGTAGAGGAATTGGCTGAATTAACGACTGAAATTGAAATAAAAGAGAAATTAGTAGAAGAACTAGAAGCCAGCCATCAGCGCATGCTCATCATGAAGACACAATATGAAGAAAAACTGTCACTCTTGACCCACAAAATCAAAGAAACTGAAGTAGAAAGAGATCAGGTTTTAAGGAATATAAAAGACCAAGACTCTGAAGCAGCTAAACAAGCCAAACACATCAAAGAGGAATATGAGAAAAAACTGAGTAACTTGAAAACAGAACTGAAGAAACTACAAGTTGCGAAGAAAAACCATGCACAGCTATTAAGAGACAAGGTACAATACATAGGAGCAAGGGTTTAAGAAATTCTGCAAATTGTGGGGGGTGGGGGGGGGGGGTAATGTTGGAAAGGTTAAATTATCCAAGCTAAGACTGAGGGATATTCTGGGTAGTGGATAACTAAAGGTCAATAGGTGGTCACTAGGTTGTTGCAATTAGTAGATTGTCAGTAGGGTGTTGGTAGGTTGTCAGTAGGGTGTTGGAAGGTTGTCAGTAGGGTGTTGGTAGATTGTCAGTAGGGTGTTGGAAGGTTGTCAGTAGGGTGTTGGTAGATTGTCAG